GGGTTCCTCTGGGTAGGGATCGGCGCCTGCCAGGCTCCCACCCAGGCAAAGAGAAGGGCGAGTGGAAAGGGGAAGTCTCAGCGCCCCTAAAGGAGAATTAACAAGTCCCACCGGTTGTAGGGGTTGCAAAGGAAATTTGATTTTATTATTTTCCCCCTCCTAGGCTAGAAAACAGGTAGGGGAGTTTTACCTACAGCCAGTAGCCATACTGTATTTCATACCAGCTGCAAGGAACACCACCTCTAGATGTTGGAGAGGAGCAGCACATTAGAGCAAATCCAGTTTTGTGGGTTAAGCATCTAAGGCCAGGGCTTCTCCAAAACTCATCTGGAAAGCCACGGTATTTTTAAGCACTGGTTCTTCCAGGAAAAGGGTAGAAAAGGCACACTCTGCAGCAGACACACCAGGTCTGCACAAATCCGCTGCTTTGGCTTATTGTGCAACAGATCCCTCCCAGGACAGCAGAGAACTTCATGGCCTGGTTTCCCTCCCACCCCTGTTATGCTCTATTTTTTTCTTTTTTGGTGAGGAGAATGAACTTTCATTTCCTGTTTTCTTGAGAGAAAAAAGTATTTTGCATAAACCATATTACATATCAAGCCATATTCCCTGCTTCTCTGATCTAGAAAATAAAAACAAAGAAGTCAGACACTTTCTTCAGGGGAAGATGGCCTGTGATGGTGACTTAAGTATAAACTCTCCTCCTCTGCTGCATCTCACCTCTGTCAGAGTAGGACAGGTTGGCTGAGACAAGGACAAGTGAGAACAAAGCAAAACCAAACCCATAACGAACCCATGAAATAAAACCCACACAGGAAACAATGCTTCAAAATTTCTATATTATTTACTTTTAAGCAACAGTCCAGCTTTGTGAAATTACAACACACACTTTAAAGGATGAGATTTTCACCTCATGGTCAAGCACCAGCATGATCATGCACAGCATTGAGTCAGTTGTAAAAAAATGCCCTGTCATTTTTATTTATTTATATGATCCACTTCACCTTTACTGAATAAAGTCTGAATAAATCCCCTCCTAGCATTAGGCCAGGTGGCTCTGGTCATCAGCCCTCTATTTGGCACATACCCTGCTTCATAGTAGTCCAGTATCAAGATTTACTTTTTTTAAAGGCAGCATGGTGTACACTAACCACTTTGTGACTTATATGGCACAGCAGGGCTCAAGGCATTTACCACATGCAATCAATGAAGCCTTTTAGATGCCCAAATCTCACATGTGGAGGAAGGGACTGCTCTTGCTGATTGTTTGCTGGCCTGTTTAACCAGGATTCTAGACCCTTGTAAAGCTAAGGGGTTCTAAAAAAATCTCAGTACAAAAACCCTCTAAGCACACTTAGAACCAATCTACTCTCCTTTGAATTACATTACTATACTTCATAAAGCTTTCCCTCAAGTCTATCACTAGAAAACACTCATGTCACTTCCAGTAGATCTGGGGGAAACACAGGACAGAAGTGGAAAAAAAAACCCTTGATCTCAAAAAAAGATGGGAGTACATAAAGTGCTTCTTTTTAATGAAAGAAATTCGAGATGTACAGTCAGGCTCAAGTTGTGCAGTTCACAAGCATGGGGGAAAGAAACAGACACGAGTTCAAAACAGTCAGGAAAGGAAAGGTTTAACCAAGGACTAGGCTGGACTTGCCACCGGGTGGATTTCTCCTGGATGGTGCAGGTGCTGGTGCTACTGGGCTAGGAACTGGTGCAGCAGGCAGGGATTTTTCTTCATTCTGACCTGGGGCAGCTTCTACATCAGCCTCAGTGTTTTCTAGAAGAAAAGAAGCTTTTAAAGTGTTTGATGTGGATGATGAAAGCCAGATGTTTCCCTGGCTTAGGCAGCAGATCAGCCCCTGGAAGTTTCCCCAGGCTTACAGACACACTCAGAACGTTGCTGTAACCTGCTGGTGGGACAGACCTCAGCCCTCCGAAGTGTTTTTCAGATCAACTCCGATGCCTCACAGCTCGGTTTCAGGCATTCAAAGCCACATTCACTCAGCTGCTATTAAGGGACCTCATCAAATATTTTTGTGTTTAATGACAAGCAGCTTAAAGTCTTAAGTCTTGTACACATTATGAGTCAGCAGATGACAATGACAACTGTAACTGAGCAGCTGCTGCAAACCAAGTCACAGAAGCACCAGGACTTGTAAGCAAGAGCTTAGATTCAAACCAGATTCCCAATTTTGTAATTAGAAGGGAGAGGATCTGACAGACACTTCTGAGGCATCACAGAGAACAGACGAGGGAACAGCCATGCATGGGAAGGCTCTGATCATACATTCCCTGGAAAGCACATAACAGTTTCATCTATTTTAAATACTTCTGAATGACCACAAGTGAAGACAGGACATAGACTGAATTCTTCACAGGAAGCACTTTAGATACTGCAGCAAATAACTAACGTATTGGCTTCACTGACAATTAATAAGCACAGCAAGTACATTAGCACCTGACACTTTTATAGATTCATACAATCCGTTATGAGCCGGAAGCCCAAATCAGTACCTAGTGGCCCTCAATACTTGGAGGGTGAAGGGAGTGAAGATAAACTACATCTGTTTTTTTAACAGACCTCCTAGTTTCATCTAACGATCGCTAGTTCTTGCTTTGAAGGATTTGGGAAACAGCTGTACATTCACCTTAACCTTCACCTGCATTAATTAGTGCAAATCTTGATCATATCCCTTCTCTCCGAACTGAAGAGGCACAGCCATTTTAGTCTGCTCATAAGGCAGCTGCTGCACCTCCTTACCTCCCCCATTACCTTCCTCTGCCCCTTATTTGCCTCCACTACAACTTTCTGGACTTTCCATTTCAAGGACTGCATACACAATTCAAGACGTGGGCATATCATTGTTCACAGAGGCAAAACAATGTCTTATCTTCCATTCTCTCCCTGATATTCAGCATTTTGATGGTGCTGTTACAAGGGGACTTAAGCAGGATTGCACTCAAGGACATGTTTTCTTTATGATTGGAGCCAGCCTAGTAACTGGAGTCAAAACATCCTGACACACTGATACGTCCTAGTACATTTTGAAGGACTGCAGATAGACCAGGAGGCACTGGTTGATAAGGGAAATTAAAGAATTAATAAATAAAGTTAAAAAACAAGAACATTAAGTGTGCCTCTTCAGATCCACCAGGGACCACCAGAGACCACCAGAAGATCCCTTGTACGCAAGCACAGTTGATTTGAGAATGATTAAGTAAATATTTATAAATGCATTATAATGATATATAAATTGCAATCAATCATTATGACTTAGATTGCGAAATTCTGAAACTTTTGTGTATAAACATGCTAAGAAAAGTGAGCTTGGATGGAATAAATAATACCCCTCCTGCCTGCCATCAAATAAAAAATGCCTGCTTCTTAATACTACATTGGTGCCAAGAGGTTTTTCTATTCCCGATTTTGGTGACAGTGCCTCCAAACATCCCAGAGAGCTTTCAGGAATAAGACTCAAGGCAGATCTTGGGAGTTACCTTCCATGCAGAGCAGAACGAAAGACTGACATGGTTTAGGTGTTGTATCCCACTCCGCCTCCCCCAGATGCATTACTTTATGCTTACTTATATAAAGATTATTCCGCCACCTTTTTACCTGACTACCTGATTTAGTTGCGTCCTTCTGACAGTGAGATTTTCTCACCATCAGCACATTTGACTACTTGAAAGAGCTTAACATCACCAACACAATTGGAGACTTCACTGTTCATTACCTTTTCCAGGTCACGGATGAAGGCACTGAATAAAACCAGTCCCAGCATCACTTCCCATGGCTCATGTTGCTGACCCGAAAAGCAATCACTAAGCCCTACCCTTTGCCTCCTACTCTTTAGCCAGCTTCCTAACTATAGAAGCAGCTTTCCTCCAGTCCTGTGGCAAATCTATTTTTTTAAAATAACCTTTGATGCAGAACTTTATCAGAAGCACTAAAAACACACTCATGTCCACTGAACCCCCTCAATCCGTGTTTATGATCATCTCAAAGAACTCCAGCATCTTAATATCATCTCCATGCAAGCAGAAATAATCTACAATACAGATCCTCTGCTGCATTCATCAGCCCACAGGCACATCTGAACAAAACCATTACAAAACCATTCACAGAAAGCTTTAAGCTTGAAGCTTCTTTAGTTCATGCGTCCCAATGCCTGCTTACTCAGCAAGCCCAGAACTGCGCCGTGCCCACTGCTCATACAGCACTGAATGCTCCATTGTCTGCGCCTCCAGCACAGCCCTGAATGCTGTGCAGTGCTCCTGGGGATGGTCTGTCCACCAAATGCCAGACTCCACCTTCCTGTGCATGTGTAAAGTCGGTCACTGGTAACAGTCAATAGTGCTGCCCAGTTCTCTTGAGCTGGTCACATTCGTTAAGTATCCAGCACTAACTGAATCACAAGACACAAGAATTACTATCACAGGAGACTTTGGGGAAGTTTCTACAGCATTTAGAGGCTCATGTAGCCAGCTGATACACATACAAGAACTCCCCACATAATCAAGGTATAGATCCATTTGCTAACCTAGTAACTATAACAGTAAATGCAACAGGATCAGATCAAATGCTAAAGTTTTTCCTTATCAGAAAGGATATAATCTCTGAAATAGCTTTCCACTGCAAACCCCTAGAAACTGAGGCACAGAAAGGAAGTACAGCCTCCAAACAGGCAGCAGGAACACTGCTGCAAAAGGAATGAGTTTTCTTCCCCTAGACAGGCGTGATTAATAAACATGCATACCCCACCTGACACTTACTTGGTGTTTTGTAATCAGTTACATACAGAAAATTTCCAAATTCAGAAGAACAAACATCATTTAATGATGGAAACCTATTAATAACGTAGTTATGCTGTGAACTTGTAAACAGACAGTTTTTACTTGGAGGTGTATTCATTCAGCCCCTTTCAAATCCCAGAGACAGCTCTACCACACCAAGCACAAAATCCAATGTGCAAGTGGTGGGATGTTCACCAGCTCGTGGTCTGCCATCTCACACGGCAGGACTGTCACACGGTGGAGTGACACAGCCAGCTCAGCAGGACTCTGTGCTCCATTAAGCTACGATATCCAAACCTGCCAAAAGCAGAAATTGAACAGCCCACCAAGATTCTCAGGTATCTACCACAGACACCATTTCCAGGAAGCATTAACATTCTACTCTAAGTACCATCAGTAGAAGTTTAACATTCAAACCTTCACCTGCTATTTTTATTTCACCTTGACCATCTTCAAAAATTTCATTTTCAGTCATATCCACAGCAGTAAACAACCCCAGCTACCTTCCAGTAACACTATTTTTTTAAACTATCTCCCAGCATACATGTACTTGGTAAGAACTTCCTTTACTGTCACCTACCACAAACAAACCAAAAGCCAACAAGTACGACAGCTGTGAAAACATGAACTTTTCTAAGAGTCAGGAGTATCACTTTGTATTCAAAAGTTTCAGTCAGCTATTGCTAGCCCAGACAGCTCCATTTCTGCTTCCTCCCATCCCAATCTCTTCTTGCCTCAAGGCTGCTCACAGGCTCTCATCTGACCCCATGGTGAGCTGCTTTAAACAACTACCGGGAGAAGCAGCAAAGCCCTTGGGTCAGTTTACTTCTATTATCAAACCACATCCTCCTACTTGAGACATAAACTCTAAACGCTAATTACTAATTAAGATCACATAGACATGGGAAAGAAATACTAAAGACACCTTTATAGTTTGATTACAAGCAGTGACTTACAGTTGTACTTGCAGCCCACTATAGCAGTAAGACTTATTTTGGGCACAGATACCACTTAAGAGGTAGTTGGAAACATCCAAGAAGAACTCTCACCCTCCCAGCAGAAGTCTTTTCAGGGCATGGAGCTGCTAATGGGTTTAGTGATCTCCCACAGCTCTTAGGTGTGGAAAGTAGCACTTCGAAAGTA